GTGTTCAAGGTGATGAGCTTTATTCTTTTTTTTCTATGAAGTATGATGCATGTAGACCAAAAACGGTTCAATTTTGACCTTCATTCTAACCAGATCCTGCAACCCTGATTTCTTATAGGTCTCACTAAACAGTGACTTTCTTCTTTCCCACTGACAAATATTCCCACCTGAACTGCATATCTCTGCAGCTCCTCCAAAGTGAACATTGACCTCTCAAACTCTTATCATAATAATAGTCTCCTAACATGTCAGCTCTAGCTGACAGCCTGATCCCGGTAGATTTAAAATCGTCCAATACCGTCTTTTGGGATATTCAAAATTTGAGATTCAGTCTCAGGAAACTAGATCCACTTTAAGCTTTTCTAAAACTTTCTTGCCATTTATCTGTTGTGTTCCATAGGTTGTTTTTTTTTTAATGCTTTTTCTTCTCTAATGTTCTCCAACAAATGTCTGAGGCCTCCAGAGAACAGCTGGAATGTTACTGATTAAATGACAAGAAGCATTTAATTAGCAACATTAAATGTTGTCTGGATCTGTTTAGGGGAGCTAAACAAATGCAGATTTGAATTTATAAAAATTTGTTGGAAACTCTGCAACAATTTCCATTCCCTGTACGGCGAGGCATTACTTTGTGTGGGTCTACCCCACAGATCATATTAAAGCACTCAGGATTAATTCACAAACTCTGCCTGCCAAGGATGTGCAGATTCAATTGCCTGCTGGTAATACATAGATTAGGAAACTCAGTGCATTGTAATCCTCCATTCTTTCCATTTCCCTTGTCGTGGAAAGGGAAAGGTGTGTGAGAACAGGTAAACCGTTAGCAGGCTTTTGCTGCAGGATTACACTTGCAAGGGCGACTTTAAGCCTGTATGATTCGGTTGCTGGAGAGGAACAGAAGAAACGAGGTCACATTTCTGAAACCGATATTGTTGCATGCTGATAAGGATTTTCTTTAAAAGAGTAGTTTGATTTTTTTTTATCATTCTCGGAGCGTGTCAAGCTATTACACAAGTAGTAAATGTGTAATAGCACCTCTATTACACGTTCACACAAATAAAGACAGCTTCCAGACTTTATTTTTGACGGTCTCCTTCAGAGAAGAAGGTTAGAGATCTTCAAGAAAGGCTAAGGAAAGTGAATTACTCTTTTTTGCTGGTGGAGTGAGTAATGGCTTCGGAGGCGGTTACCCTTGGATACAAGGGTTGAAAAGTTTATGGAGCCCAAATGAGAGTTGGTGAGTTGAAGTTGTAGAGTGGTCGTGTGGAAGTAAGTGGGACTTCGCTCAGAGGAAAAGTGCTGGACTCTTGTGAGAGCTGAAAGAGATTCTTGTCAATTAGGCGGCAGAGGAGCAGGCCAGGAAGTTCCCGACGGCCTGAGGTGAAGCTGTGGTGGAGGCATGAGGCAAGTTAGGGGTTCTAGAACAGATAGAAATGATGAATGAGCAATGAAGAATAACTTGAAGCAATCAGACGAGTAGCAAAGCAGACCGCAACAGTGGCAGCTGCAGAGTGTCCCTTCAGGTCTTTTCACGTGTGTTGGGCCATCTTGCTAGTCAAAAGAGAAGACAGATTTGGTTGTGTTCTGTGTTGAGACAACACTAGTTTCAGTGCTTGACTTTAAGACGCTGAATGATTGAAAGATCACAGGTAATTGGTTTGCCAAACTAAAACCAATCATCTGGGTGCTGTGCTAAAACTAAGAGGCTTCACAAATCATAAGAAAATCCTTTAATGAGCCTCAGAAATCCTGAAGATCTAGCAATCAACTTTAAACTGTTGCTACTCTTAGGGAGCAAACAAAATGACTCCAGACATTACTGTTATTGTTTCCAGTGTCTGTTCACCAAATCAAGAAATAGCACTGGAAACACTTGCAGATTTGAATAACAGAGGGTGTAAAAAGGGAGCAGTTCATATGAAGACTGTATAGAGATGGCTGTTTTTAAAACTTACAAGATCTGCTTTCTTTTTCCACTGAGGTCTTCCCTAGTCAAAATCCCTAATGACCTCGTGTAGACCTCTTCTACATACCAAACACCACTTTTCAGCGGCTGTGCAATGAAAAATAAACCACTTTAAGTCTCCTAAAGGCCTGACTCCAGCTAATGCTAATTTATCTTACAGCTACAGTTTAGCTCTCTTGTTTATGTGGCAGATCAACCCATGTTTGTTGTGATATTTCTGCTCAGGCAGACTTGTTTCCTTGTGTGGTGCGAAGGAGCATTCGGGCAGCTGAAATCAGTGGCAGATGACATTTCATTATGAGTCATTGAACAAAGAGGTATGCGCATTTAAGCTCTCCGTTTCTATTTCTCGTACAAGCCACACCCAGTCGTGCTTTATTGTCCCTGAGTGTTCACACCTCTGACAGAGAGCACGGGTACATCTCTAGGGAGTAGCCCAGTGTTGGAAAAATGAGCATCTCCTCTGGGAAGTTCCTCAAGTACACAGTGGCAAAACAATACATGCTCGTTTGTAATAATGTTTTCCCATAGTTTCGAGCAATTTAATTGGAAGGTCTAGCTGATGTCGAACTGCTGAAATGGTTATTAGTCGCTCCGGCCCGTAGCTGTCCGTACGATATGTAGCAACTCTGTGTAACACTGAATGTGTTTGTACAAGCAGAGTGGAACAAGTGAGCTGTCCGAGTATATGCCTGTGTTTATATGCTCTGTTACTTGACCTAAGAGTACACTGAGCAATAATAGTAATTTATCCAGAAACCAGCTGCCTACGTAGGAGTTTCTATTGTTTTCAGTATAATAATGTATAAATTTGACTACAAAGAGGATATCAAGCAGTACAAAAGCTGGGATTTACAATGCAAAGATCCCTTCTTCTTCGTCTTCTTCCATCCGCTACTACATTATTACAACTACACTGTAAAATTGATTTCTTGTTAAATTCAATTTAATTCAAAAATACTTTATTAATCCTAGAGGGGAATTAAATGCAAAAGTATTATGTAAACTTCTTCAAAAAGTTGCTTTAGATGCTGATGGCTGTGGGGAAGAAGGATCTCTGGTAGTGGTCAGTGTTACAGCGGCACCGAAGAAGGCTCTGACTGAAGACACTCTGGTGTTGTATAACAGTCTCATTAAGAGGATGTTCTGGGTTGTCTGTATTTTCTTGATTTCATGAAGAATCCTTCTTTGTATCATCGTCTCCATTGGTTGCACGCTAGTCCCCAGAGCCATGAAGGAAATACATTTCAACTTTCACCTCCAAAACACTTTCCTGTGACTCAATGGGTCCAAGAGGACTCTGGTGTCCTGGACAGAGCTAATCACCTGAATCTATGATCGTCCACTTTGTTTTGTTCACAGTGAAGTTAAGATGATTGTTCCCACACCATTCTGCTTTAGATGGCCTCACCTTTTCCTCAATCACCATCGGATACATGGTGAAATTATTGGTGAATTCTGTGATGTGAGCTGTCCAGGACCTGCTGCAGAAAAAAAATATATAATTTCACTTCCTGAAAGTGAAATTATTGATTTTAAATTCCGTGGAGACCGCTTCAAATGTGTTATGCAACTAACAACCTGCTATCGTCTTCTTCCTGAAGGCCTCAGATAGATGTTTGGATCTGGTTAGAGATTGATCTTTAGATTTAGTGATTGATCTGGATTAGTTAACTTTCACTTGGAGAGTTGGAAGCAGTTGAGTAAAAATGTCATGACCATATTTGACACCGATATGTATCAGATTGTTTTATACCCACTCAAGTGGAAATAAATGTGAGATTACACTAATTTATTCATCACTAGAAACAGCTTTTTATTACTTTTATCGAAGGTTATTTTCTTTTTATTAGTTGAATTTCTGAGTGTTTAGTTTAAATACCCATATGTCCAAATCTGTTAAGAAAACACAGGCTGTGTAGGTTGCTCTAATTTTTCATATGACTGTTTCTGTCTCCTGATTTTGAATTTTAAGGCCAACTCTTTGAATTTACTTACTAAATTTTGCTACAATGTAGCAACTTAGCTACACCCATTGTACTGTAGGGATATGGAACTTTGCCAAGGCAGAAAGTTTTTTCTAATGGCAACCTTTAATAAGTTAAACCAACATTTTACATCCAACAGTGTATACATAAACAGCTGCTCCAGATAATCCACTAATCAAGTCTGCACAATCCACAACAGTAAGCCAGTTTTATTAGGTGTTAAAATTACAACAATTGTTATGAAATGCAACGTGAAATCTTCTTATTTAAATATCGGTCCATTCACTGTTCAACTATGTGTCTTCATTTCTATGCATGCGGCGCATCAGCGTAACACTAAACCTCTGGCTCCCAGGGCAGGCTACCTCTCTCACTCTTTGTTCGTCACACATGTGACGAGGGTACAATGGCGAGTAGGACAATAGTCCACTTATTGAGTGACTGGCAGGGAGCGGGATACGTCCCTGATTATCCGTCACACTGCAGCCTCGTGCACCCTGCGGTTCATAGTGAGCGGTGTCAGGTTGCACTCCGCTGTAAAGGGAAAGGCAACGGCTCTCTTGCTGTCACACTGGAAATCTGGAAGGAGTCACAGAGGTCAAAGTAGTGAAAGGCTCTCAAAATAGATGAGAAGGGAAATAGAGATTAAGAGGCTGACTTAAATGATCTTAACAGGAAAGTATTGAAGATGCACAGATTTGGGTTTACTCATTTTTATTTTATTGTTTTTCTTTTCTTTTTGAGGTCTGACCTGCCTGCAGTTCTGATCACAGTCTCAAGGAACACTTGTGGCCACACTGGTACCGTTTGTATGTAAGAGTGACTACAACAACCGGCACACTTAGAACAAATGCTAGTTGAGGAATATGATGTCATCCCACAGCAGTGTTTGACCAATCTTGGAGAACAGCATGAGGAGGAGGTGCTAAGCTGAACCTCCTGTTTGTAAAATTAATTAAAAGTTATTGCCAATAAGTCTTGTTTTTGAAAACTTCAATAGCAGAAAGAGCTGTTTGACAAATGTCCTTACTTTTTTTATTTTTTTATTTTTTGGTCTGTACAAATGAGTGATAATAGGGATGTCGCACAGATTTGATTATTTTGAATGTATCTTGAAGGAAAAGCTGCATTTTCAAGTGTGTGGAAAAAGTATAAGGTTAGTAAGCTTTAGTATTTTTTTCACAAGTGAGATATTGTGTAATTTTTTTTCTTGGAGTGCTAAGCAGCTCTGTAACATCTTACAATAAAAATGTTATTGCTGAGACAATTAAACTTTCGATCCGTCCAGAAAGGAGAACAAAAATATTTATCTTGTTTTTATTTATAGTTTTTAACGAGAGAAAATTAAAAACCCAGCATAAAATCTATGATGGGTAGGTTTTATGCATTTCAGGACAGCAAGTCTAAGGTCAGACTTATAACATTTTAGTTACTAACACTTTTTGTTGCGGCCATCTTTTGTTTGTGTCTTTGAATGTGTAAGGAATGTCCACAGCTGAGATGTCCTCCAGGTTGCTGTCAGCTGACTGTCACTCCTTGCCTTCAAGCTGAGCAGCTTTTCTCTGAATCCTTGAGCCTCCATGACCTCATGACCTTCAAAAATAACAATACAAGGGTTTAAGTAGAGGTCAAGCTCTTCATAGTGAGGCTAAACTGTTACATTTGCAATGAAGAATGCCGCTAAGCCTGAGTTTAATATGCAAGCACAATTGAACTATTTCTAATGACGTACGTGCTTTGACATCCCCACGCCTTATCGGTGCTGTCAGTGAACTTCTCCTGTAATTCCGCGTCTGTTTGCCCTGCTCCGAGCCCTGGGTGTCATATTTTTGCATGAGTAGCTCGCAAACTGCTCCATTTGTGAGTCTCTCCCTCTCTCTTTCTCTTTCTCCCTGGAGGTGGGGGCAGAGAGGTATTAGCTGTGCGCCGCAGACATCATTAGGAGGGGAGACGCTTTCCACCGTCAGCGCCGGAGCGGAGCGGAGCAGAGCAGAGCAGGGGAGCCCTGGCAACAAGAAGACACACAAACTCAGCAGCCCGTTACACCCCACAGTAAGTCGCACAAAACTACTCACTCCGAGACGCTTTTCCCCCCCCAAACTGTCACTGCTCGCTTTCTCTCTTTTGGAGCTCTGTTTGGACATAAAAATGGCTGGAAGAACTGGGTAAGGGTGGCGCTGAAGCGCTCTCTACCCTTCTCTCTTTACTTCAAAGCGTTTGGAAAATGTTTACTTCGCGCTCTGACTTATTTTAACAGTCACCAAACAGTCCGGGGAAACGAGGGGCATGGGTGGGTACACTTGTCATATCGCTGCTTTGTTGCAAAGTGAGTTTTTTCACTGGACGAAAGAGGGAGCGGGAGGTTTGCCTGGGTAGTGACCGAGCTAGGAGCGCGTTCGCCGGTCGAGTTGATCTCGGCCAGCCGCTGCGCTTCCCACTAACTGCGCCACTCGACCTCGGCTCGAACGTGTTCTCTTTACGCTGCTTTCTCAGCGGTAAACACCGCCAGACGCTGCTGGATATTGTTGCAAACGCTTGTTTAAATACTCTTAATTTGTTGACGGGGAATGTCAAAAGCAGGAGATTTTTTTTTTAACATCGTTTCACCATCGCGGAAGTGTTTCCCCTCAACACGAACTAGAACTACTCGTCAAAGTCAAGTTAAAATGCTCACTTTGTTTGTTCCGAAACGCTTTACAGCTTTGAAATGTATATTTCCGCTTGCAGTTTGCACACGTTTACGGCTGCATGTGTAATATGTTACTACACGGTGTTTTACATTACCAGCTGGGTGTAAAGGACATACGGTTTGTGATTGCAGGACTACCCGTGATGTCATTCATCCGAGCTTGGACCATTATATAACGGGACTGTAGGGAAGCCTGTGATAGCAGGCTATTTTTACACTGTTTACACCTCAGAGCAGGGTAGGGCTATGCTTCAACTCACAATATGAATTTAATATGCCATCCAAATGAGGAAAAAGTGCGTGGACATTAAGGGACTGCTGCAGATGTAAAGCATGCACTTTAAGGTGTCCCCTGTCTTTATGGGTGCCTGTGCAATAAACACTTGCATGCCTGTGCAATAAACACTTTAGTGCATTGTGAAAAATTTTCCCATATTCTCAGTAAGATGTTCTGCAGAGGGCTTTAATGTGCACATATTTAATTAAAAAACAAAAGCCATACTCACACTTACGACATTATTAGTAAGTGTGAGTATGTTGTAAACTCTCTGAACTTACCTCTGAAGTGGAATATGTCCTTGAATGTTCAACAGCATGCACTTAATTAATTGTAACTTCTATTTTTTATTTGTCCATTAATGTTATTAAATCCTCCCACTATCAGTATTTTACTCATTTTCTAATTTTTTTCAAGGTTTTTTTTTTCTCTCTCTCTCTGCTAGAGATTCCAGCATGCATTCAAGAACAGTGTGTTGTTAATAATGTTCACTACTACCCTTAATATTCAAGTAAATGCCTGTTAGAATTTTTTTTTGGTGTATTTGTGGTAGTAGTGGCCTTTTTCCAACAGTAATTCAAAGAAAATGGTAGAGAGAAGGGTGTTGTGGGAGGTAACGCAGCAAAGGTCTTGAGGTCAGGAATCGAACCCAGAACAGCTGCATCAGGCACTATAGCCTTTGTATATGGGGCAGCTCTCCTTCCACACCATGCTGCGCCCCAGAAAGATGTTTTTAGGACATTTGTGTTCACTTCTTGTAAATACAAATGTGTTTGTATTTACGAGAAGCTGGCACCAACTCCTTATTATGCTTTGTAACCCAATTGATTTACAATAATTGTGTTTTGCCAAGTTAGATCAAACAAGATGTCACGACAAATTAAAAACATTCTAAAATCTATCTGAGAATTACCTGCGAAAACAAATTTGAAAGAACTTTGTAGTAGATGCTAAAACAAATTTTCAGCGAACGAACAAAATTTGCAAACATTTGTTTGAATTCTTATAAATTTAGTTTGGAAACAGCTTTTGATTATTATTATTTTTTTCAAAATATGGTTGCTAATGTCTCAAAAATGCGAGGTGCTTTTTGGTTTAAATTTTAGTCTAATATTTTTTTGTGGGGAAAAAAATCCTAGCTATAGATCATAACTTATCTCTGTCCCATAGCAATAACAGTTTTACCCCCTCCAATTTAATTTCTATTAAAGCAATCTCAGCTGTCAGTAAGAAACATGAAAAACAGAGACAAAGCCTTAATTAAGATTTACAAACAACCTTTTACAATTAAAACTAATCTAACACAAAGATAAAAAAAACAAAAAACAAGTTAAGTCCCTTCCTAAGTGGATTAACAATCAGACAGAAACTGGAAATGTAATGTGAAGGACTAGATTGTGAAAAATGTCCATAATTTTAGTTTTGAGATGGCTATAAAATGTAATTTTTCAAAACATTTTAGAGTGACGAAACGTGTATTTAAGTAGGAACTTACTGAACTGTGCACATGAATTTTATAGATTGAACTATAGCTGCACCCTTCTAGGTAATAACAGCACGTCGTGGCAAGTGGCTCATTCAAATCTTATGTTTCGTTGTCCTACTGCAATGTGAAGCCAAACCTCATGAGGTGCATGCAGCATTGTACGGGCTTGTTTTGGACTTTAAGGCATAAAAATGCAGTCCAGTTGTATAACGGTGTAATTTCTGTCAATAAAACGCGCCTTATTATTTGTAACATTATGGCCTCTGTCACATAGATTAGATATGGTCTCTGGTTTGTTCCTGGTGCTGTCTGATTCTCTCGCTCACAATGCTGTGTAAAAGGAAACAGACGTGCTTGGAGTGCAGTGGAGGGCCATTCATATTCTGCTTTGCTCACTTGAAATATCCTCCATTTGTTGTGGTGTTGCTTTTATCGTTATGTTTGTGGTTTCTCTAGTTCTGTTATCAAAATATTCATGTACAGTTCCACATTTAGGAGCGTTCGAGAAGAAGGATTTCTTGACTTGTTTATATTCTTCGAGTTTGTGCTTTCAGCTGATTTTTTGAGATGTTTAAACTATGAACATTATGTGTATCTGTTATTAATTTCATGTGCTTAATTTGGCATAATGTGCCTGTTATGATGGCAATGTTGTGACCAGACATCTTTGTCTAACTCTATGATTTCCATAAGCTAATATTTTTTGATAAAGATGAAAAGCCTTATGACTTAAGTTCTTATTGACAAGTTGTGTGTAATACAGAGGTGCATATACAATGAGAAATGATTACAAAAACAACAACAACAATAATTAAAAAAAAACAGATTTAGATAATCATAAGATGTGGAACTGAAAACATTTGGAGTTCGGTCATCTCATATGTTTTTGTATTTATCATTGATCAAATATCTTTAATACTAAAAATGAGCTCAGTTGTGAGACTTGAGTTTGTCTTGATTCTGTGGTTCACAGGTTGAGGGACCGGTCATTAGCATGCAGGGCTTCAACGCTAAAATAGTTATCAGAAATGACACGCTATTTTTACATCAACAACTGATTTCTCTATCTGCTGGAGTTTTAAATAAGCTAAGAACACAGAAAGTGCTTGTGAAAAACACGTTATTTACTTAACACATAGTCTACACATAGTTCTGCTTTGCCAAATAGGAAATCTTTCTGCATTGTGTATTCTGTCATTTGCAAAGCAGATGGAAGCAACAAAACAACATAGCCCTCACTGCAGATGGCTTCTGCATCCTCCTGAGATTGTGTCCTAGTGGTAGAAACAGGCTACAGAGTGACGTAGCTGTAAGATTGTGGAGAACTTTTGGAAAATGAACAAACAAACATGTTTTTTTTTTTTTTCCCAAAGATTGAGGACGAAGAGTAAGTTGCAAATTACACAAAGGAGACTGTGATGCTGCCATGTATACAACAAGCAGGATTTATGAGATTATTGTACTCACTAAAGCATATTTTTTAATAACTTTGACATATGTAAGGTAGAGTGTTGGAGGCAACAAATGGCAAGGTTTAGGTGAATTAGTTTTATGTCTGCTGTCCTGCAGAAGTTTGACAAAAGTAAAGTCCATCTGTCAGGCTAGCGTTGACAGCTCGTGGATGGAAGTCTGAAAGTTTATGAGGTTATTGATTTTGTGGTGCCTATGCTTTCCCAGGCCAGGTTGTTAGAACTATAGCTAAGAGAAAAATAGCCAGCAGTAGAGTGTTTACCAGGAATGTCCAAAGTGTGGTGGCATGGGAAGAATTTGTGGTCCTCTGAATTATTATTTTTTTCTTTTGTACACCCCTCCACCAGAGTTTTTGAGAACCGTGTCAGCACAAGCAATTGGTTTAGATTAATAATTTTAAAAAATATATTATTTAGAGCAATATTTTCACAGGTGAATAACGTTTTTTGCGTCATCAGCTGTGAACTGGGCCAGAGAGAGACATGCTGTGTTTCCAAAAAGGTACTTTTAGTATCTGACAGGTGTTGCTTTTGTTGGGCTGCAGTTGAAATTCATAGATTTTGTTTTTGCTCTATGGAGGAACAAAATGTTTATTTCTGAGGTTTCTCTTCTTCAGGTGAACAAGATGTAAAAAGACCCAACTGAACTTTTCTATTGTGTGATCGTACCACTGTGATCCAGGCGTGCTGTGCCACCCACACACCCACCCACCCACCCACACACACACACACACACACACACGCACACACTGCATCCACCCTAGCCTTTGATTCCAGCCGCCACTCACTTTCAAATGGTAATGAGAGGCAATTAGAAGCCAATGTGTCCTAATCACAAGCCATTTAACCGAGCTTGGCTCATTTGTCAGAGCCCTGTGCGCACATGGAGCCCCACAGACAAACACACATGAGCACGTTGGTCTTGTAGATCTTGCCAAACGAGGGGGAAATTGTGTGTTTCTGTGTATGTGAGTGAGATTTACAGGTAATGATCGGGTGGAGATTTCACAGCTGAATGAGCGAGTGACAGAAATGGCTCTTCGTGTGCAAGTACAGGGAGGACGGATGACGGGTGGGAGGGCCTCACAGATTGACCAGGGCAGCGGAACAACAGGTGTCAGTGGCTGAATGTAGAGGAAG